GATTCTCATGTCTTTGCAATGCTCCACCCAATAACTGTCTCGTTGATTTGAAACTTACTGTTTTATTTTCAAACGAATTCCTTACAAGTTCATATCTTGCAGTGGCTCACTAGTCAGTGTAAGAAAGGCTTGAAGTTGTTATGTACATATTGCTGTTGGTTTATATCTTTAGTAGACTTTCATCTCTTGCTCTTGATTGCTTAAGAATTCTTGAAATAGCATGCAGATCAAGCTGGTATTTAAAGTCATCTTCTTTTCCAGAGCTACTATATGATGACCTTCTCTTTTGGATATTTTATGAGCATGCAACATCTTTTGGATATTTTATGAGTATGCAGATTTCCATGCCATTATCCATTGGTACCAACATCTTTTAAAGTCATCATCTTTTAATAGCATGCAGTAGATTATGAAAAGACACTCAACTGTATCTATTTATATGGAACCAGTTATGATAAGTTTTAGGATTGTATTGGAAACTCTCTTTATATTATTTTCTGATGGGAATGTGCAGGCAGAAACAATCAATTCAACAAATTGGGGCTCTGTTCTTGCTGATAATGGCAGCTGTTCTTCTAAGCATCGGTGAGGGCTCTAGCAAACGCTCTGGCAGTAGTGATCCTGAGCAAATTTTATTTTATGGGATCATTCCTGTCCTGGTTGCTTCAGTTCTCTCTGGTCTAGCTTCAGCTTTGTGTCAGTGGGCTTCTCAGGTTTGAAACTTGTATTTAAATGATCTTACAGGTGTTTTTCTTTTCCATCCCTTCCAACATTATTTCCCATCATTTCAGGTTAAGAAACACTCGTCATACCTGATGACTGTAGAAATGTCAATTGTTGGAAGCTTATGCTTGTTGGCCAGCACCACTAAGTCTCCAGATGGAGAAGCTATCAGACAGCATGGATACTTTTATGGTTGGACTCCTCTAACAATGGTAATAATCTTATCCAATACTTCTTGCAATTGATCTCATTGATGACCTTGGCATACTTGGCAAAATAGTTGAAGTGACAAAGGGTAGTTGGAATGGGATTGGTGAAAGTTCTCAATCCAAATCTGGTCATGAAATAGAAAACAACTCCAGTTGATTTGTGGTCATGGTTTTTCAGTTGAAGAAGTTTTCTTGCTGTATAGAGCATCTCATAATCATTAGGTGGTCCAAAGGACAGGAGAAATTGTCTTTAGATCATATTTGTCTTCCCTTGGTTTACATCTTTTGAACTGACACAATTATAGCTGGATGGTGAAGCTCATCCATACTGGGCAGCTGTTATTGTTAGGATACCTGCTTTGATTTGGAATGTTTTTGGTTTGCTGCCAATCTCCTGTGACTCAGAATTTTCTTCTTCTTCTGGTTACTCAAGGAACAATAGGTAGCTGGTTATCTCGTGGGCTTGTTAAAATTCCAGTTAGTAATTTAATTTGAGGGCCTCAAGTGTGCATCTTGCGTTGCATATTGCTTTGGATTTGTGAAATTTATCTGCGATATATATTTGAAGTATGTATATTTTGAAATTCAGAATCTGAGGATGGGGGGTGGGTATTTGGTTTAGAGTAGTTGTGAGTTGATATGTTGTGTGCATGATGCTCTTTGTTCCTCCAGCTTCTTTTCTTCAAGCCTCAGCTGTATTGCATTCTAAAGTTTACGAAAATTGTTGCCAGTTATCTTACGGACAGCATTTTTAATTTTCCTTCTAATGGCATACCTGCTAACAGCTGTATCATGTGTGGTTTAACACTGACAAGCTGTGCTTGCTTATTTTTCAGATTCCAGTTGTAGCGAATGCTCTAGGTGGAATTCTCGTGGGCCTTGTCACAAGCTACGCTGGTGGTGTGAGAAAGGTAAATGCAGTGTTAAAGTGGATATTAAAAAGAAAAACAATAAAACTATCAGGAAATTGAAAAAACTGAAATAAACATCATTTCTTCCTTTTACAACATTTTCAATTTTCTATTAAGACATTGAAAAAATAATAAAAGAAAACAAAATATTAAAAAGAAAACCAATAAATCTAATTAGTTAGGTGAACTTTTATTTTTCTTATTCATTAGTTAGGGTTTAATTCATTGTCTGTTATATTATATCATTGTACATTATTTAATTTTTCAATATGTACGTTTGTCAAGTTTTTTCATCAAAATTGACATAACTATATTTTTCATTTCAAAAATATCATGTAGCTGTATGAGGATATGGTAGGAAAATTGTTCAATTTTTTTTTAAATGTCATAAAAAATAAAAAAAAGTCAAAATTACTCGGTCTTTAAATTTTTTTAAAATAAAAAGTTTTCTTTTTAAAAAAAATTAAAATCATATCCTTGTATTTCTCATGGGTATTTTTAAGATAAAAAGAATATAATTATGCCAATTTGGATGAACAAATTGGATAAAAATACATATTAGAGCAGTGGTATATATAAGGACATAAAAGACAATTAGAAATTAGGGAGATATTAGAGATTTGTTGAATTATATAAGGATATATAGAGTCATTTACTTGAGAAAAAATCATGAAGTAAAGGTACTTCAATTGCCATTTATGCATGTCAGTTTCTAACACCTAGACCCATTTGACATGGAGATAGATACCACATCAGCATATTTGTATTAGAAACTAATTGATGCGTTTGATTGATCAAATTTTGAGTACAAGTACTCAAATAGAAAAACAAAATCAATGGCTGATGAAGTGTTAATTGTCATGTAAGCATTTCGGCAACAAAATTAATGGAGATATGTAATTGATCAAATCGTGGGAGTACAAGTACTCAAATAGAAAATAAAATAAAATCAACACACAGACACAATTAGAAAAAATCATAAAGTACAAGTATTACTTCATAATGCAATTATCTGGTATTAAAATAAAATAAAAACTTTATCCCCACAAAGTTTTCTTGATGCCTGCAGGGGTTTGTCATTGTTTCTGCACTTCTTGTAACGGCCTTGCTTCAGTTCTTGTTTGAAGGGAAGCCACCTTCAATTTACATTCTTGTGGCTCTTCCACTCGTCATGAGCAGCATTTCAATATACCAGAAATATCCATACCAAGTAAAAAAGAAGGAATCATAGTCACCCTGACAGCAAAAGGGAATTCATTGAAGTAGCCCTGTAGATGGAGGTTACTTTTGGTTTAAAATTTAGGCATCCAAGTTGTACATGGATAAATGCTTCTCAATGCAGATTCCTACCAGTAGATGGAGGTTTCTTTTGGTTTAAAATCTAGGCAGTCTTCGTTCGAGAACATTTGAATTCAACACGGATTCCTACCAAAAGGAAGAGAACATGGTATTGATTTGATTTGTGATTCCTTTGAGATACGGATGACTAGAGTTCTTTAGAATCTCAATCTGTGTATTGAAGCCCTTCAAAATGAATATATTTTCTTGTTGCACGTGTGGACTCAGGTAAGAATGGATTTTATGCAGATAACAAAACCACGCACGTGTTTTGAAATGATGTTTGGGCCTTGATTTATCTATTTCCGAGCCGCAGATTTGGGTTTTGTGGGGTTGGCTTTCCAGTGGGTGTTATTTTTTTCCCTTGATTTTTAGTTGAAGTCACCAAATTTGTTTTTTCTTTGAATTATAGGTTTCCTAATTTTTTCAAGGTTTTTAAGATGTTTGCATTTGAAATGCTTGGAATGGTTTTGTTTTTGTTTAATTTCAGTCTCCCACAGATGGGGCATTTTACTGTTTCTGTCATTAGATCTCATTTTGTTGGTGATAGTAGCCTATGTGCAAGGTTATTGTTCCTTTTGTTTTGTGGGTGTTTGGAGTTGCTGTCGTGGTTATTGGTGGAGAAAGAGGTTGCAGTGGCGGTTGAAATGATCGTTAATTCAGTTTGAAGGGTAACGGGGATGAGATTGACTATGGTATGGTGTGAGTAAAAGAAAGCTTGGGAAAATGAGGGAAGATTGATTTTTTTTTCTTGGTGTGGATTTTAGTCTCTAGACAGTGGTCACAAATTGTGTTGTGATAGGAGGTGATTGAGGCTAGGTACGGCGATGGGAAAAATTGAAAAGGAGGCTAGTGTTTTTTGATAAAAATGATGGATATGGATCGAGAAAAAAGATTGGTTTTGGGTGGAAGAGGGGTTGTGTTTGCTTGAATGGAGAAGGAGATTATGATGTGGGTGATATTCGATTAAGAACAATGTTGTTGCTGGTGTTTTTGATTTTCATGAACAGGGCTGATAGAATCCCAGTGTTATCGGTGGAATAGAAAAGAGAGACTCATGTTCTTTCATTGGTGAATTTTTAGGGTTTATTTTTTAGATTTCCTTTAATTTTTTTTCTTGGTGTGGATTTTAGTCTCCTCTAGACAGTGGTCACAAGTTGTGTTGTGAGAGGAGATGATTGAGGCTAGGTACGGCGATGGGAAAAATTGAAAAGGAGGCTAGTGTTTTTTGATAAAAATGATGGATATGGATCGAGAAAAAAGATTGGTTTTGGGTGGAAGAGGGGTTGTGTTTGCTTGAATGGAGAAGGAGATTATGATGTGGGTGATATTCGATTAAGAACAATGTTGTTGCTGGTGTTTTTGATTTTCATGAACAGGGCTGATAGAGTCCCAGTGTTATCGGTGGAATAGAAAAGAGACTCATGTTCTTTCATTGGTGAATTTTTAGGGTTTATTTTTTAGATTTCCTTTAATTTTTAATATCTCTTGCTTTTGTAATTTTAACATAATAATGATTTTTTAGTTATTAATTAAAATGTAATGATAATCTTGTAAATAATTTGATTTGTTTTTCCTTGTATATACAGTGTTATCAAATTATAAAAATATAAACGATAATTTTATTAAAAAATAATTAAGCTACAGTAGAGGGAGTAAATTTCCATAAAAACAATATAACTAAACAGAGGACGAGGAGAGGGAAAAAAATCAAGTCGTCACAACATCTGCTGCCTAAGGAAGGAAGGGCCCAAACACAAGCCCAATAAAGGTTTTCGAGCCCAAATCCTCCAGCACAACTGTACAAACCACGCACTTGACACCACCGCTTCTCCTCCCACTCTTATAAACCCTCCTCCTAGCTCACTGGTGTAGGCAATAGCAGCTACATTTCAGCAAACAGATGGCAGGCAGATTGGGAAGAAGAGTAATAAACTTCGCAAACCTCCCCATAAAACTCCTGATGCCTACAACATACACAAATATCTCTGAAATCGCACTAAAAACAATCCCTTCAGCCTCCAAAATCGAAATCAAGCGCGTCCTCGAATCGCTCTACGGCTTCGACGTCGAAAAGGTACGCACTCTTAACATGGAAGGAAAAAAGAAGAAACGCGGCGGATTCCTAATCGCCAAGCCTGACTATAAAAAAGCATACGTCACGCTTAAAACTCCCCTCTCGATTTCGCCCCATTTATTTCCGATTAGAGTTATTGAGGAAGAGAGGGCGAAAATGAGTAAGAAGGCACCGGAGAGTAGTTTTGTTGAGGATAATAAGAATCACTGGCTTCATGACAAGAAGAAGGAAAGTGTCGGCGGCGGCAGCGGATGGCGCGGCGGTCGTGGTCGCGGTGATGTGGCGACTGAGAAGGCTAAGTTTCCTTGGAGCAGCATGAGGAGCTCCACTGCTAATTCTAGGTAGTGTAGATTTTCGGGTTTTATTTTAATTGAGAAATGAGAAATGTTGGTTGATTTTGGTAAATTCTGGTTTACTATGATTATTTGTGTTGGATATTATCGGATTTAATTTGATTGGTGCTGCTGAGATATTATATAACATGGGAATAATGGTGTTCTTACATTGATGGTAGCTATCACAGTTGCAAATTATTATTTGAAAGATTAGGATTCATGTGCTTGTAGAATGCTAGTGCAAAACAAAGTTTTCTTTTTGGCAGTTGATTGTTATTGAAACAAAGTGGGCTTCGAATTATGGATTTGGTAATGGCTTCAGTGAGTGGGATAGTGGATACCCCTATAGGATTGATAGGAATGAGGCTGATGTGATGCACTGGGATTTATTCCTGGCAAGCTTTTTTTACATTGAATGAAACTACAACATGGCTTATTGTATGCTTCAACAAGAAAGATGCACCAAGCCCTTTTTGGTTACAGGTGGACTTTCGTTTAGAAAACATGTAATTCATATAAAATCATGATATGAATAGTCTTCTTCTGAAATTCATTTTGTGGCCAAGTGAATTGGGTATCTTATGTACTTGTCCGCTTAAATTCCCATCTGATTTTCTATGGAAAAGAGCTGATGTTCTGATCTTTGTCCAACCAAAATTCCAAGCCGATCTATTCATATGCTTGTTGTTTTTCTTTCTGTAATCGTGTTGCAGTTCAAAATAGTCCCTCTGCAGCTCTGTCATTTGCATCTTTACATTCTCTAGCTCTGCTCTTAGGGTCCTGATCTCAGTTTTTGTTGATGTTTGAGTTATTTCTTGTTCTGAGCTGTTACCATTTGCTACTGGCTCTTTTCCTTGCATTGCTGCCCTTATTTTTATTTGCTCACAGAACAACACCTGCATGCCCATTTCATCTTAGATGAGAAATGTAAATTTTGATGAATTATAAAAGTCCTATAGTCTTTCCCTTTGTTTTTGGCGCGTATTTGCACACCATGCTGTAAAGGTCTGTGATTTACACTGGGGTTTGTTTTTGAGAATACTTGTTCAAAGACAGGGAGTGTTTTAGCAGCTTTTGGTTGGAGTGGTTTTTGGATTTGACCTAATGTTTTGAAATATTGCTGATTACCGTGCTTTTTACAATATCATCAATCTCTCATGTGGCAGAGTGGGGATTGACAATAAAGCAAGCCAGTTAGTCATATAAAACTTCTTTCATTTTTATGTGGTTGCATCTTGCATAGAAGTTGGCATTGTCTTACAGTAAAACATTCCAAAAACAACAACTGAGATAGCACACATTTCTCAACAACAGGGGTAGCACACATTGCATTTAGTTTGATTACTAGGTTCCTATGGCTGAAATGGAAGTCAGTGGTAGTAAATGGGAATGTTTTGGACACACATACACTTCATGTAGCTTTGGTGTCCAAAAGTTCGTTCCTGCGGCTTTTTCTTGGTATCTCAGAATTGTGTATTAGGGTAATTGTAGATTTTATGTAATTAGGTGTCATTCACTGCATTAATCCCCCTATCCTTTGTTTAATCCAGAGCCCCTTTTAGTTTACAGAGAGACAGAACTGGAAGGACTGTGTATTTAAGCAGATGAAGTTAGTAAAGAACAACTGGAAGATAACTTAATTAGAATATTTTTCCTTGTGCTGATGATGGTAAGGGTGGTTTGATATGGGCAGGAGTTGCAAGCTTGAGTGGAATGTAGTTCAAGGTGGTGAAAAATTTGTGTTGAGTGATATCTCAGGCAGAGTAAAGTAGAATCATATAACAGACCTCTGTGGGAATAAAACTGTTGTTAGTCGGAAACTTTTTAGAGCATGTGTGATTATGTGAAGTGCATTGTGTTTTGTTGGCACTTGGAAGGTTCTTCAAAATGCGCAAAGTTGACCTGATGCTATCTCTCAGATTTTACCAATTTATACTCTAGATGACATTGCAGCTTTCCTTGCCTTCTAAACAGCTAAACTACCAATTTTCTGTGTCCTTTATTAAGCATTGTAGAGTCATACCACTTGATCCTCCTTTATACTTGACATGTTGTGGCTCTTGGCCACCCTTATGGCTTTGGATTTAATGACCGAAAGAAAAGACATAAATTTACAACACGGGCACCATGACAGGCATATTTGTTTTGATTTAGAAATGATGAGTATTTTTGATTTATAGTTGAGGATTGTTGTATGTTTTACCTGAATAACTGTTCGTAGAGGCAACCTATCATTTTGTGCTGCATGCGAGCATGCATCAAGCGATAACTTCCCGCAGTTCATTATTCTGCACAGCCTTTTTCGGTCATGCTCAGAGAGCAAAGGATGATCCTGGAAAGAATAATGGAGTTTTTAGGCTTTGCCATAATGCTTATCTAAAAGGATGAGTACCAGAAAGACAACTGAAGGCAAACCTTGAGATAGGTGTCAATGGCTCCATAAAGACCGTCATCACATGTCCGAGCTTTTTCTGGCAGGGCTTCAGCCAAAACTTGAAACTTGGTAATGGAGAGATCAGGGTCCTTTGCAACCACAGTTAGATAACTGTCCAAAAGCTTACTAACACTTGATTTCCCTGCTGCCTGTGACGGTTGCTGCTGCTTTTGTTCATGCATCAGAAAATATTCAACGATTCTCTGTATCACTTCTATGTTGTGCATTGTTCGTTGTTCAAGTGAGCTGTATGAATACATGAATCATAATTAGATATGGTGAAAAGACTTGCAACATTTTTTTAGGGAAGGTCAAGCAATCTTAAGGAGAATAAGATTGTTGAATACTCACTTCACTAATTTCTCCTGATCTTCACTTTTATAATTAGGAATCAAAAGATCATTCACATTGGCATTTTCCAACACCATCCCCACTCTTTTCTCAAGCTCTGAGATCAAAGCTTGGGATGCAGAGTAAACCATTGCCATTTTCAACATCTTCAGCAAGAACTTACATGGGACTGCTTCTGGTTGAGGAGGAAGTATGCTTACTAGGCTTTCAAAAATAGACTTTTGCTCCTGGCTATGCTCAATACCCTCACCTTCCTTCCTTCCAATCAAAATACTGAACTGCAGTTCATTCTTTCCATTTCCATATTTCCTTGGACCTTCTAATTCCACATCCATGCCTGGCAGCCATCTTTCTGCATATTGCATTATACATTTACCTATGATCTCTGGTTTTGTTCCCCTTGCCCTTATTGCAGTTATAATTCTTATGAAATGATCAACTCGAAGGGAAGCCACATCATCAAACCAACATCCTTCATCATTAACCATATCTCCTATTGTTGAATTGTCTCTAGAAGCTTTCCATGCTATTGACTCACAACATCTTCTAACTATTTGGAGGTTTTCTGCCCATGGAGATAAAGTTTCGCAGGATTTGAGAACAGTTATGGTGTCTTTCCATGATGAGCGGACTACAAATGTGAGGAAAGCTTCTGTCTTTGAGATGAGATTTCCATCATCAAGTTCTTCACTCATTTCTAGGAATTCTGATGCGCATCTTAGTGGAGCAATGTTGCTAGGGTTTAATTCTAGTGTAAGACCATAACAGAACTTTAGAATGATTTCAAAAGCTTCTGGTCCACCTGGGAAGTTTTCAAGCTTGAGTTCGTACCCAAAATTTGAAATTGAAGGCAGAAGTTCCAAGCGGCCTATGTAGCTACATTTGGATACCACGGGATACTGGATCAGGAGAAATAGTGTGGTTATCAAATGATATCAGCTCATTCACATTGGAAGTTCATTTCTTACAGACAATGCATTAGATCCATTGGTGTGTTGTTTTACTTTGCCTTAGCTATAGGTGAAATCTTGTCACGTACCAAGGGAGGTTACCTTAATTAGGATTTGCTCGTACCTTGAGAATTGACTTGTTGGTATTGTTTACATTTTGCACTCATAAATCAATTGAAAGAGCAAAAGGGAAATATGTTTATGACTCTGGTGAGCGCAGATGAAGTCTTAATTTTGTTGTGTTCATAACTTAAGATGTTTTTGTGAATTGATTTTTCTTTTCTTAATGTGTAACATAGCATGAAGTTGTATTTACTATATTAAACAGAAGAAATAAGAGAATAAATCGAGATGTTTTTAGCCATTGTTGAAGTTGAGCCATGTCCTTCTCTTATCCTTTCTTATCCCCCCCTCCCTTTCCCGAAGAACAGTAGTATAAACCCAGTTAATTGCCATCAACCTACACCCTGAAAGTCTCCAATTCTTCTCCTTTGCTAAACTTTAGTTAATGGACACTCCTAGTTATAATTTTGTTTAATGTTTGATATGTGTGTGTGTGTGTATATATATATATAATGATTTTACACCTGAGCAGGTGAGATGTAACTTTATCATGCTGGCTAGTTACCTTGTGAACAGTAAAGGTGATGTCTTGAACTTGAATTGATAGATCCGTCGGGATTTGGGAATTGACAAACCTGTGTAGTGGAAAACAAACAGAGAAAAGCATCAGTAAGAGATACAAGAAGTTTGAAAACAGAAAAGGACCAAAACGATAAATATATGATTAGGTATTCTAACATTAGCTTGGTTATGATTTAGAAACAAAACACACGCTAGCTGTCTTTCGACAAACTAGCAGTAACGTTGCTAGTTCTAATCGCTGGCTTGAGAATCCTGTATCATCGCTGATTTAAGTTGTACCATGAGTGATCATTCTTTTCAAAGCCATCGGCTATTGATATGGCTGTAGGAGGAACTATGATGCTTTGGCTGTAAACTTGATCAGCACCACCAGAACCACTCTCTGAGCTCTGTGATTGAACAGGTGGAAGGGACTTCTTCATGGTTACAGTGAAGCTGCATGGCGTTGTTGTTGTGATCCTGAACATTTAATGGTGTGAGGACATGGGGGGAGGAGACAGTGGGGCATGGCCATAAATTTGATATGTGAGTCTGTGGTTGGTATGGGAGCGCTGTTAGGTGAGCTGAGAATTTCAGAAAATTCTGATACAGATCTATCGAGCTCATGGGAAAAAAGAATGTCAGGATTTGAATTGTCGATCTTCATCCACGTACGTTACTTTCTAGCATTTAGTTTGTGTCAGAATTGCAGGGCCTTCAACTCTATACTGGTAAGAGACGAGATTGCATGTGCCTCCTGTCCAAATCAAATCCATTATATCTGTTAATGGCCTGCCTGATGTCATCATGGCATTGGTCCAAATTTAGTTCTTTTATTAGAAACTCTCTCTCCATACGTATGAACTACTCATGTATTGCGCACCCCCATTTTCAATTTTTATTATTATTTAATTTTGTGATAACAAGAATAAATATGTTAAGAAATTTCAATGAACTGAAATTATAAAAAAAATTCTTTTACTTCAAATTTTATTTTCCTATCAATGCATTTGTTTTTTTTTCTTAGTAAAAACACGTATCTTTTATAAGTAATATTGAATTTTTGAATGTAAACCTAACACAAAACAAACATTCACTCTCTCGCAAAACTCTCTTTCCTTATTCATTATTCATGTTTAAAATCATGTTATGATTTTCAAGAAACAATACAAGAGAATAATTAATCTTAGAAAAGATTATCATAAGAAAATAAAAAAAATATTTTCATTGTATATTCAAGAGCAATTTAAAAAAAAAATACAATTCTATAAATCATATTTAAATAAAATTTTTAATAAATAAATTAATAATACTACCATAAAAACTCAAATTTTTGAAAAGTAAGGATTTTAATCGTGAAAAGTGTTGTTAGCTTATTAAAAACCAAAAACTAACATTTCTTGTAAAAAATAAAGATAGATGTACATGTAAATATCTTACCTGGATTATCTTTCTCTCATTTTATTCTTTTTCTCTTATTTATCTTGGATTCTAATTCTTGATAAAGTATATATGATTTTGTTTTTATAAATGTATCAGCAAATGACTCAGGAGGATTTAACTTTTCTTGCTATAATTAAAATAAATATTCATAAAACTAATGATTTAAATCTTGACAAAAAAATACATTTTGTTGTTGAAATTCCTTTCTGTTACTTATGTTTTTTAATTTTATGAACAATGAATTTTTTTATTAACAACACAATTATTCGAGCATAACTTATAAAAATTAAAATAAATACTTGTCAAACCTCAAATGATTTAAATTAAACAAGAAAAAAATGTATTTATTGAGCCAAATATTATTTTTCCTTATTTGTTAATTTATTTTTTAATTTTGAAGGGAATATTGAGCCAAATATTATTTTTCCTTATTTCTTAATTTATTTTTTAATTTATATATATATATTATAAGAGATATATATATATATATATATAATCCTAAGAAATCAAGCTTAAGCATGCTTAAACATAAAAGAATGATCTATATTCCTCTGGGCTTTCAGTGTAGGTGCCTTTAGCTAAGCCTACACACCTAGGCTTAGCCTAGGTGATATTAAAAAAAAAAAATTATAAATAAGGTATTATTTTTCTATAATCATTACTAGTCATCAAGTGATTGAAAAATTAAAATTTAAGTTTCTGGATTCATAAGATCTAACCTTCAATTATTCTTCACCCAGAAACATGAAAAAAATAATTTTGTAGATCTTTAAAATCTTATTTTCAACAACAAAACATATTTTAATTGGTCTAAAAATCAAAATCAAATAATTTTAGCTTTTTATAAACCTAATCTATTTGTTTTTGCATCATCAAAATTGAAAACAACTTCTACTATCCTCTTTTAATGTGAAATTTCACATAAACACTAAAATCAAAGTTATTAGCAGTTGAAATTCACCCATCCAAGAGCATTTTTTCTCCTCATCCTTTTCAATAACCTTCTCTTTCTTCTCTCAACCTAAAATAAAAGGAATAAAATATGAGAAAATTAAAACTAAGGGATCAAATAAAAGTTTTACATGTGTTTTATGGAAAAGACCTTTGTTTCTTTTCTTATATCTATTTCAATTTTCTATATCTCAATTCAGTTTTTTTTTTAAAAAGAAGCAAAAACTTAGTTTTGTAAAATTATCATTAATTCAATGTTGAGACATTTAACAACATATTAGATAAGTTAGAGAAAACAAATTAAAACATAACTTGAAAGAATGAAATTGAAAAGGTATACATTTAAGTGACTGAATTGCAAAACATGCAAAATATAGGGATCAAAATAAAATTTTCTTAAAAGTACAGTTTTCTGGTAGTCATGAGTAATGGATTCTTGAACACTAAAAAGGATATTGTTTTAGTTTTATTTGTTATTTATTAATTATTAATTGTTAATACATTTTTGGTATGCACCTGTGCCCGCATGATCAATTTTATCATCTGCATAATAATGATCAATTTTTACTGCTGCGAGGAGTTTAATCTGCTGCTGGAGCAACTGTGCCAGCATGATCAGTTTGACCTGAAGTTCAGCTACAGCAACCTCCCACTTTCTCCACTTGTCCTCAAGCTCACCGGGCTCGCAGCTCCCAATACGGCTTCGTATTTCCTCCACACATCTCATTCAACCACCTGGCATTGTATCTCGGAAAAATAAACTCGAGCTGCGAGGATGCAATGATCCTCGCGGGTTACCATATTAAATCAACGAATAGCTAGGTTAGCAAACGACTTTTTTTAAAAAAACTAAATCGTTTGAGGTGTTTAACGTGGAGCCGACATTGTTTATAAACAAAGAAATTGACACGGTCTCTTTTAATAATTTATTTTGATTTTCAAAGATTATTTTGGATAATTTAATTATAATTGAAGGCAAGTTGTTTTGAATTTTTTTAGATGAACAAAAACTAAAAATAAAAAGATATGACTGTAGATGACGTGCTAGAAATTATATGAAAAATATATTTAAATTTTTAAATTTTAAAAAATAATATAAATTATACAATTTTGAAAATTATATGAAAAATATATTTAAATTTTAAAAAATAACATAAATTATACAATTTTAATCCTTTAAAATTTAAACAAAATTGGTTTTAGTATAAAAAAATTTTATATTATTTTTCAATCCCTGATTAAAAAAGAAAAAAGAAAAAAGAAAAAGAAGAGTCGTTAAATTTTAACAATGAAAAAAAAAGTTGTCATTTAAAAAATTTCCAACCGACAAAATGAATTGTTTTAATGTCCATGAGTTACATGGGATGAGAGGGCTTTGATAATAATTTGTTTAGACCCACAATGCTGCCAAACAGATATTTTGATCACCAGTCTCCTATAATTTGTTTAGACCCACAATGCTGCCAAACAGATATTTTGATCACCGGTCTCTTGATTTCTCTTATTTAATTATATATATGAGTAAAATTTTATTTAACTTGCGGCGTGACACGGGTAAGATAGCTAGTATTTTTCTATAGCATGTCTACAAACATGAACATTTCCGCGTGTAATTTGCATTGCCTTTGCATGAGAGGCAATCAAAGATTTTTTTCTTATTATGCACATAAACCAATTACCCTTTACTTATTGGTTTTTAATTCATATCAAATTTTATTATATAGACTCTAAAAAAAAGTTTTTATTTTTTCAACATGAGATTTAAGAAAAACATTATGTTTTTTTAATATCAAATAAAAGAACTTTTTAATTTAAATATTTAAAAAGAAAAGATAAATATTTTAAAATAATTTTTAAAATTTTGTTATTTATAATATATATAGCTTACATATATTTGAATTATTTTTTAATTTTTTAATTTGAAATATTAAAATTTCAATTATCTTTTCTAATTTTCTTGTGTAACTTGTTTCCGAGCCAAACCCCTAGCTAAGTTTGATAACTGTGGATTCGACTACCTTCAACAACAACTTCTTTTAAGAGCCATGGAAAGATTTTCAAAGATTAGGGATGCTATACGTGTAAGCCATACTTGATGTGTGTTTGTGTGTGTGTCTATAAAGAGAGACTTTAATTTATCTTTCTCCTTTTCTTTTCCTTTTAAGAGAAAAATATAGTTGTGAAGATAAAGTGTGTTTAAAAAAATCAAAAACATTAGAAAAAAAATCGAAAATACTGAACTAAAAAAAATATTATTAAACTAGTTTGAAAAACCAGTAAATAAAAACATCAAATTAAACCATAAATTATAAAAAAATTTACGACTCTAGAGGGAAAAAAACCTCTTGGAATCGGGCAATGGCCAGGAAGAGACCAAGTGCAGCCGCACCTTGGGGTTGAGAACAGTTGCATGCACGCTTGTGGTTTCAAGCTCACATCAATTTTGTTGAATAAAAAGACAGCGACCAAAGGGCGAAAACCATTTGGTGCATGGCCTTGTAGAATCGTTCGTCTCTGCCGGAAAGGAGGAGGAGGCTCAAACAAAAGAATGCTTCATCTAAAGTTCACATCAGTGCTTGATCTAGTCAATTGCGTGTCTTAGATGATTGCTTTTGAACAGGTAAAACAATAGAATCTGTGGGAGAGCTCGTCAACTTTGTGCTAAGAAGCTCATCATCCTTCCTAAAATACTCTAAAACTAATGACTCCTTTGCGTCCCAATAAGAAATAAGACTTTTCACAATATTGTTTTTAGGAAGGAAGGAAGGAAGCAAGCAAGCAAGCAAGGAAGGAGTTCCACTCAATTAACCAAACCCTTTTGAGTCTATTTTAGGAAGGAAGGAAGGAAGCAAGCAAGGAAGGAAGGAGTTCCATTCAATTAACCAAACCCTTTTGAGTCTGTATATAAATTTATTAAATTAACGTATATATTAAAAAATAAATAAATAAATTCTCAAGCCCTAGTGGCTGGAATTTATTATCTACCCAAACGGATGATGTTTTGCTCGCTCGTTATTGAAAAAACAGGCACTTCGGCACGGGCGTTTTAATTCCTTTTCAAGTCCAGTGCACAAGCCTGGCCATCTAGACAAGCTTAAAGTGCCTAGACCTGGCTCCCCTGGCCACTCTACTTTTTTTTTTTCTTAAATATTTTTTTATTCTAAAATAAAATTATTTTCAAATAAAAAATTACAATGATATTTTAAAAATCACACAATAACAATATACCTTTTAAATAAAATAAAAGTTTTTAATGATGATATTAACAATTATTTTATGAATAATTATATATGAAACTAATATGTCCATTATTAAAAAAAAGAGTCATGAGTATTCAATAAAAATAAAATGCCTAATTCTTTTACCGTGTAGTTTTATACAATTTTCTCAAATGATTTATTCCTTTTTTAAAAAAATCATAATGTTTTTGCCTTTTTACTTAACCTAGCTTTTAAAATCACACAACAAGTCTTCATTAAAAGAATTATGCTATAAATAAAAAAATATGTTGTTATATAAGAAAAAATAGATATAATCAAAGAAGTGGGTTTTATGGAGAAATTTTTTTGAAAATGATTCATAGGAAAGAAAAAAAACTATTTTGTGATATAATTATGTCTTGACAATTTCTTGAATTCATTTTTGTTGAATACTTGTTGTTCAATATTTTATTATGAAAATAATTTGACCTTCGTGATGGGTTTTTATTTTTATAAATTAAATATATTAACTTATGAGCATACATTAAGTTTTTATTTATAATATAAAATTTTAAAATTAAATAATACTATTCATTAAATTTAAATAAAAATTCAATTTTAACCCTGTTAGCATTTAATTTATTGAAGTTCTTTGGGATATATAATAAAAGAAATGAGTTTCTTTTCTTGACCATTTCCATTTGTTAGAAAAATAAATAAATAAATCCTTATAAATATGGATACAATTTAAACATAATAATTTTAATAGAATACATTTATATTATTTATTTGGACCAACTGACGTAAAAAAGAGAGCAATACCATGAACAAGAGAGGCGGGCATTGACTTCAATGAAGATCAGGGGGCCTGTGGCCTGGTTGTAGCCTTGTAGGCGGGTCTTCCAAGGAGGACATAAACGTCAATCAACAAAAAAACTGAGTTTGACTGAGCCGCATCATCCCATCCTGGTTGGCGGTTTCTTTCATTCCCTTAAAAGAGCCTCCCTCCCCCATATAAACCGAAGCATCATTCTGCCATCGCTTCTGCGTAATTTCGTTTGCGTTTTTCTCAGCAGTTGTTTAAGGGAGGAAAAATAAATATATATTGGATGAGACAGATCTGATAAATATTGATAAATAGAAGAAAGGAGGAGAAGAAATGGCAACAGTATCCCCTCTGGCGAAATACAAGCTGGTATTCCTTGGCGATCAATCCGTTGGTAAAACCAGCATTATCACTCGCTTTATGTATGATAAATTCGACACCACTTACCAGGTTCTTCCATCTTTCCTTCCTTCTTTAATCATTATTAATCTGAATGTTTGGATTCCAAGAGCAATCTTACGTGCTGTGCACGCTAATTAGACTTAATTTCAATTCTTGATCCCTTAATTTTTTGTTTTGTGAATTTGTAGGCAACTATTGGAATTGATTTTTTGTCCAAAACAATGTACCTCGAAGATCGGACAATTCGGCTGCAACTTTGGTGAGCCCTTTTGTCTCAATTTCATTTTTTTGTTAATTAAGATTATTATATATATAATGAAATTGGGGGAAAATGCATTTCATTTTACCTGTATCATAATTCTTTAGTCGAAAGACGATGATTACCAGATCATGTCGATACCTAGCAGGCGTATAAGGTTGAGAAAATTATGTGGTCGGTGATTTTGTCATGGAAATTAATTAATTAGGAGTAAGGTAATGCATATGATCGTGGAAATGGACACCCTAAAGAATCAATATTGTTGTTAACAGGCTGCTATAGTGGCTGGTATCGCTAATTGAGTGGAGAGGACCTACAACGTTGTTTCATTTTTTTTAAAGAAAAATATTTGTGCAAGATGATGCCCTTTTAAGACAGGGTTATTACCTTGGTCTGAATTGAGCACAATGTGTTGTGTCAGTCGAGTTTTCATGAAATACTGTGTGTTATAATTATACGCAACATTTCAGTTACTCTGTCAAAGAACTTGATTCGTGCTGTAATGCTCTTGTATCTTGTTTCCATGGTGTATTTGTTTTTCCTCCTGGTTTCTAGTTTGTGAATCTTCGTGTATGTTAACTCACAGGGATACTGCTGGCCAAGAGAGATTTAGGAGTCTTATACCGAGCTACATCCGGGATTCTTCTGTAGCCGTAATTGTCTATGATGTAGCTAGTGAGTTATCTTAAGAACTGAATACTGGTTTTATTGGAAATATGTGTTCTAGTGTGTACATATTAGAATTTAGAAAATAAACCTCGATCTCTTGTATAACATCTGCCCATGTGTGCTTGTACCTTCACCCTTCTTTTAGGAGGGGAAGGGAGGGGGCGCTGCCTGTAAGGCGATATTTAGTGTTGTACTCATGTAACATTTGTAATTCTTAAATTGCTTGCTAAACTGTGTCCATGCAGATAGACAATCATTCTTAAACACCTCTAAATGGATTGAGGAGGTACGGACTGAGCGAGGTGGTGATGTCATTGTTGTCCTTGTTGGAAACAAAACCGATCTTGTTGATAAGAGGTAAGAAATTAACTAATGAGAATAACATGATGGATGATGTTTCTTGGTTTGATATCCACATTACTTAGATATGAGTGACCTCTCGGCTTTTGTTCTTTTACGTGGCACGTTGTGTGTGAGATCACTCTGGTTTTTAGCGTCTAGGAATGTCATTGGAGAAGCGAGCATCATCTGCCATAAGAGCTCTATGAACATCTTTATTAATTTGTTTGCTCTACTCAAATCCTCTTGTTCTTATTTGTGTTTGAGCGAGAAGACTGGGGAACTGTATCGGCAGTTCTACATAGTAATGCTGCCTATTCGATTCGTAAAGTTAATTTTGTTTTCTGTTACTTTCAGTTATTGAGAAGTGAAAGATGAATGTCTAGCCGCGCGTCTTAAATTTTATGAGGACGAAAGCTTTACTTTGATTCTTTTAGTCTCTTTCTCTTTTGAAAAATTAAGAACTTTGCTGGTTGCGATCCTTTGTTTTGTTTAGAACTTGGAGTTAATAGTCCTCTCTGTTAGTTGAATTCTATATTTAGCTTGAAACAATTCAGCACTGTTGTTATCTTTTTTTTGTTTTCATTATGTTATTCGGTGATCAAACAGGCAAGTTTCAATAGAGGAAGGAGACGGCAAGGCTCGTGAATTTGGAGTTATGTTTATAGAAACCAGTGCGAAAGCAGGATTTAATATAAAGGTGAGAGTGAGACACAAGGTTTTGATATTGTCAAGCTGCTCCAATCCTAGGGGAAATATGGCCTTATGTGAACATATAATTTCATTTTTCCTTGTGCAGGTAGCTAAAGATTTTTGATAAGTTATTGTATGTATTCTGATTTCTGAATGAAAAAATGCAGCCTCTATTCCGCAAGATTGCTGCTGCCTTGCCAGGGATGGAAACCCTTTCTTCCACAAAACAGGAAGACATGGTTGATGTGAACCTCAAGCCGACTGTCAATTCTTCCCAGGCAGAACAGCAAGGAGGGGGTTGTGCATGTTAGAGAAGTGGATATGAGGAAGATCGAGGAAAGGAAGCACCTTCAATACCAGGTTATACCAACTGAATTAAAATCCGACAAATGATGATTTTTATTTGGGCTATTTCAGATCAATAAGACGTAGTTGCAGATTCCTGCTATTTGTTGAATAGGAAAATTGACCGTTCAGATGTATTCCATTTAATATCTCTCCTCTCTTTTCTTTTTTTCTTTTGTTCTTTGGAAAACCTTTGATATGTCTGTGAAACCATTATCAGATATTAACTGCAATAGGAGGTAATCTTTAGGTTACCCATTTTGTGATTCAAGAAAATTGATGGCTGTAATTTGAAATTTTGAATTCATTGTATAAAGTTTCTTTGGATCTTGGTGGAACAAAATTCATGACATGGATATATGTTGATATGATCATTGGCGAATTTGGTTACGAGAAAATCAGACAAGTATGATAGCCAGTTAAATCTCAAAACCAATATTGTTTCTGGATTGTGGTTCGAACAAGTGGCATACTATATTTGAACTCCTATAGTTAAGCCTCTCATCAATTTTATTACATTAAGTTCCTTATAAATCCATATGAAGCTGATATCCAGACAACATTAGTAGTCCTCAATTTCAACTCCTTCGCTCACATACCTCCTCCAGCCACCCTCTTTGCTTGTCTTCAATCCAAGAAGAACAAAACATCCCATCATCATCATCAAAAGTCCACACAACAACTCATGCCAGCACCCAGTTTAAGGTAAAAAAGAAGAAGAAAGAAAGATAGTTCAAGCCACCACTATGCAGTGATGGCAGCCAACCCAATGAGTAGTAGTACTCTGGCTTGGTCGTCTGGAACTTGCTTAGCTAGCGAGACACCTAGAAACCAAACAATTACTTATTGGATGTTAAGGCGCAATATAAAACTATTCTTCAAGTTTTATAATATAATATAAATTTTCTTAGAAAAATAAGATGATTATTTGATGCTGGCTTGATTTTTATCACTGTAAATTAAAAAAAAAACTTTGAGGGAGCATGAAACAGGAAAAAATAAGTTTTCAAAGTATTGAGAACAGAGAGGTAGTAGTTGGTAAGGCAACATAACCGGATATGCAATCAAAATCATACGTTAAGGAGAAAAGTGTAATCCTTCTGCATTTGGATTTTTTTATTTTCCAATGAAATCATTGAAGAAAAATATAGTAATACTTTAAATTTTTTAAGAAAACTGTAATTAGAAAAAGAAAATTGAAATTTTTTGCTCAAATGAATATTTTTCTGTTTAGAAAATTGAAAAACTAGTTTTCATTTTTTATTAGAAAATTGAAAAACTAGTTTTCATTTAAAAAAAAAAAAATTGTACTAAAAACACATTTTAGAAGTTATTCATATTTCTCCTTTATAAGTTTTAAGTTATTTTTTAAATAAAAAAAGAATAATACCATTTTTTTTAGATTGAAGAAGCTAATGTTGTTCTCATTAATTTGTTTGATAACCTCTTCAAAAAAACTCTTAACCTTGAAGCCGATTATTGAAACATAAGAAATTTGAAGTAGTCAGGGGGGAAAAAACACTGTATTTCACGCATTTTATCATGAAATCCTTAAATTTGATGATCTGTAGACCTGTTAATCATTTATTTGTCTAAAATCTTGGTTCATGATCAATCAGATCTTGGTTCGATATTTTGAAAATGTGTTGTTTTTCACAGGGACATTGCTGGGCATAGAGATTTAGGAGTCTTGTGCCAATAATCCAAATCCGGGATTCTTCACTTGTTTATGATGTAGGAAATGAGTTCGACTTCGAATATATACACTGCGAATGATAATCTGGACAGGAGCTCTTCTTTCAGATCAATAAGAAGTTGCTGCAGTTCCTGCTTTAACTTGTTGCAAAGGAATATGAACTGTTCGTAGATGTTCATATATGATAGTTGAACGTCGATCTTCTTCAATTCCTTGCGTTTTTGTCAAAGCGCGCTCAGATTTCTATTGGAAGACAAGTTAGGTTTTCTTTCCAAGCCATAGCTGTTTTACAATGAACTTGCTTCACAGCCTTGACCCTTTACAAATTCAAAGGGAATGAAACAACAGGAGCAAAAGAGTGGTGAAGTTGAGGAACAAAGAGTTATTGTTTTTTTAATAATAGATAAGAGCATTAAAAGTATCACTGGCTTTCCCGCACACACAAAATATCATCTCACATGAGATCGGAATTAGACCTTGGTAGCAGCATGATAATTAACCACAAACAGCCATGCTCAAATCCTCTCGACAACCCTCCATGTTTGCACGACATGTATCATGAACAAACCTCTGGTCTGGTGGCGGAAATCCTCTCCTTTTTTTCATTTTTCTTTGTTTTTTTTTTCCATCTCATCTCTTTTGTTTTCGGCCCTACAAATTTTTAGAGTTAACTTTTAATTTGTTTTGTTTTTGAATTCCATCTTTGTTTTTTTAGTTTTTAATTTATATCTTTGATCTTTTTTTTAATTTTATTTTTTAATACTAATATTCCCGTGTTGTTTTTTTTTTTTTAATCCTAAATATTTTTATTTTGATTTTCATATTTGAATGTTGAAGTAGCAAGCAAGTAGTTATGGTGAAAGTGTCAGAAGAATGCTTTCAAAATGGAACATACAAGAGCGCAAATTATATTGCTGTTTCCGACTAATCTTGAGATAAAATCAACGTAAACCAGCTTTTACCATCCAGAAACCTGTGGATTCCAAGTATGAAAAATACAAGAAGCAACCAAGATGGACATTTCATCCAAACTATCAAGACTTGCATGGCATCAGCAGATTTGATATGGGATCACTAAAAGTAAAATCAGGTGAGAAATGAATTTTCTGCAAATTGTGGTTTCTCAATGCCCCGTAGCTGGCAAACTAACTTGAGGCACAGCTACATTTCATATGCACCAGGTAAGCAATTTGTAAGCCTCTTCAGTTTACTAAGGTGTGCGTTAGAATACATCACATCCTAAATATCACTTTTATTAATTACTTTTTTGGCTGTTAAGCAACAAAATGCTGGCTAACCCGTCACCTCACAATTTCTTCCCACATGTTGCTGCCTATGACACTAGAGCAAAAGGCCAGAATAGCCGAAGTCTTTTTCAATACTTCATGAGCCAACAGGAGACAGAAAAGTAGGTTTTCAGTAAACCTCTTAAATCTCAACTACATAAAAATGTTTTTTAACACCCAGAAGGCAAGATGGTAAGGCAATATCTGCCCCTTTAAATTAAGTGCAAAATGGAGTGCAATTAAGGCCTCGTTTGTTTGGTGGAAAGTGGTTTCCTTGAAACCACTTTCCAAACTTTCTTGTATTTGCTTGTCATTAAAAAAGTTGGTAAATAAAAAACATTTTCCGGTCAAAGAAAAATTTAACTTGGTTTCCAAGAAAGTGTTTTCCTTTTATTTTGGGCAAAAAACACTTTTCAAAAATTATAAAAAATTTAAAAATATCATATTATTTGCTGATTATATTAAATTTGGCCTTCAAACTTTTGATTGATATATATATTTTGTTTTGAAATTTTTTTTTTCAATTTCATCCCTTAGAATTTGATTTTTAAATTAACTTTAGTTCTCATTTTTATGATTGTTATTTGTTTTTCTCTATTTTTTAATTGAAATTTTTTATCTATCAAATTTGGTCCTCATTATTTTGATTGTTACTTATCTTATTTGAAATAATTTATGAAATGTTAATTATTATTATTTTAATTTCTTCATCTTTTATTTTTTTAAGATTTGATTTTTATTATTTTGATTATTATTTATTTTATTTAATATCGTTTATGAAATTATTATTTTTTTCAATTTCATTCTTATTTAACTTTTTAATTTGTAAGATTTATTCCTTATTTTTTAACAAGTCGAAGACTGGAAACGACACGCCTTTAGAGAGATTATAAGGATAGGATTGTTTATTGGAATTTATTTTTAAACAAATTATTTTTAAATTTTTTAAAATTTGTTTATTATTAAAAAAATTGATCAATGTAAAATATTTTTTAATTAAAGAAAAATTTAGTTTAATTTTTAGGAAAATATTTTTCTAAAAAAAACCTACTGTCCATAAAGTTTACAGTTGGATGCAGTTTTCGAAACATAAAGCAGCAGTTGCCCTCATCTTCCTTGAGCCTGAGAACTACGTTGATTTGACTGGTTGCCGGTCTTTCCCCCCATGATTTGTCCGGCATTGCTCGTCAAGCGGCACTGTTTGGTACTGTTAAGGCGTGGTAACGTTTTTCCTTCACAATATTTTAAAAAATATTTAATTAATCAGTTTTTCAAATTATAACAGTAAAAACTATTATAAGGACAAACATAATGTTATAGGTTTTATATGGTACGACTTGTGCAGATTGATCTTAGGTTGTTTCTTAACTTTTGATTGATACACAGAAGTTTCCATGGTATTTGCCCTACCACACAATCCTGTGACTTGGGAACTTCTGATTTGCCCATTCACACGTCTTTTCAATGGATTATGCTTATGAGTGATTAATGTCAACTGTTTTTTAGCCACACATTTCCAGCTCCTTTTTAAAGGTGCATTATCTGTTTCAATTTTCAAATCCTTAAATGTCCATGGAGAAAACAGTCTCTAAACCATGGGAAGCTGGGGATGTACGACTTGTAAATGCGTTGTGCCGAAGATATTCCAGTTTAGGATTTGGCAGCTGTGTGTGCATAATGCACCGATTCAGGGGCACTTTTGATTTGTGGGAGCTGGCTGTTGCTGGGGATTTTTTTTTCCCAATTTCTTTTTAAATGATTGTAAAAATAATTTTGAATACATAAAATTAAACAAGTATACACATGTATAAATATATAATTTTATTAACTATATAAATGGATATAATCTTTATTTAAAGTATTCTTTCAAAAAAAATAAAATAATTATCTAATTCTTTCCTTGGATTTGATGTACGATGACTTGATTTATTTGATAAATCAAGTCAGGATTTGTGTTTTACAAGAACGCAAATTTAGACGTGTATTGCGAAACGAGATATGATGATTTGATACTTTGAAGAGTACTTTTGATTTGTTTTCAATGTGTTGTTGAAGAACTTTTATGAGATGTTTTGGCTTTGATCCAACATAGTTTCATTCTTTGTAGACTTCAAGCGTAAATAAAGAAGGCTTGAGAACTTTTAAGAGAGATTCCTTGCTTGAAAAGAGAGCTTCCTTGCTTGAAGAATTTGTCTTGAAGGAAATTTGTCTCTCCGAGCATCCTCTTTTTCTAAATTGAGGCCCTCCATTTATAGAGATCTGTAGGGGCTTTTAGGTTCTTTTTCAATGCCACAAGACATAATTTTATTAGTTGGTATTTATCGACGGGATCTTATATTTATGACAAAATATCTC